AAATTACTTTTCCTTGTGGGAAAAAAATTTAAAAAAATTGTAATCAAAACTAAAACAACACAACGTAAATGGAATATTCCAAATTAAAAAAATACATTTTTCCGATCGATGAATTGACACCATAGCCAAGCCAGCCAGTTTTTCATTTGACATGGTCGATTTTAACCAGGTCTTTAATCTTCGTAAGGTGCTGAATGATCGTTCAGCTGTGCAGGTCGTAGGCGGAATGCTCATGGCCAGAGATAAAGCCAGAAAAATGGATGGATAAAATTCTTTGGTTTTCGATAATACGTCAAGAGGTGAAGCTTTACCTAATTATTATTATTTTTTTTTTCTCTTTTATTTTTAAGTAGGTATTTATATTAAAAGCCAGGGGGGGGCAGATGCCCCCCCGGCCCCATCACCGGGCGCCCATGCAGGGGAAGTCAAAATTAGGGCCCTGTTCAGTTGACGGACCCTGTACATAAAAGCTATACTACATACATATGATATATTTATTTGTCACTCATTTGTAAAACGTCATTTATCAACTCAAAACATAAACAACGAAAATTGATTTTTACCAGTTACTGGCTCTACTGACTTGTAAAATTGGCAACTAAACTGTAAAAGCTTTTTACAAGTCAGTAGGGTCAATAGAATTACTTATTAAAATTGTATTACCTATGTATTAATTTTTTATTTATGTTGATGTAAAATAATATTTCATGTTTTTATTCCATTTTGACGTTTATAATAGTTATTTACATTACAAGTGCGTTTATGAACATGATTACAATAACGAGTGTGAAAGACGAGGTCGTAGACCGAGTCGTTCTAATCACACAAGTTTTATAGTCATGTTTAAACGCACGTGTGATGTTCAACGTTTTATCTACAAAGTGAAAAATAAGAATGTTTTTCAATCATTTTCGTTTATTAGTCGTTGTCTACTTTCATTTCACCTTTACAGGTTTAACTTTGACATTTGTCAAATCACCAAAAATAGTTGTGTCATGAATTCATAACCTAGTCCATAACACCACTAGTTGTGTTATGAATTCATAACCTAGTCCATAACATCACTGTTCTGTTATGAGTCTCATGACAACTCAAATACTAGAAAAATGGTTATGTAAAAACGTCATAACCAAACGCTTGTAAAGGGTGATTCAAATTGAGTTTCCACATTATAATCTCATATACTTTTGGAACGCCACTGTATTTGTCAACGGCAATGGGAGATTTCTAACCTAGAAACATAAACAAAATTAGTCATGGAGCAATGCACCACGGGAGAACGCGTCAAAATTATCCAATCCTATTATAAAAATGGGCGATCGAGGCAGAATACATTTCGTGCTTTACTTGAATTTTTTGATGACGCAAAATCGACCTCTACGAGCATGTTGGGGGTTTTGATGTTCACTACAAATCGATTTGTAGTGAATGTATTGCTCCATGACTAATTTTGTTCATGTTTCTAGATTAGAAATCTCCCATTGCCGTTGACAAATACAGTGGCGCGCCAAAAATATTTGAGATTGTAATGTGGAAACTCAATTTGAATCACCCTTTAGATAAATCAAATTATTGAATGCTTTACAACAAAAGTACGTAGACGTTTATCCTCCTCAGTGATATTTTCAACTCTCGGTATTTTAAATCACTGAAACCTGCCCATATTAAAATATGCTACAATATACTTTTTCTCCAAACGTCAAAGAAACGTCACTTTGTTAACGCCTGTCAGGATGTCAGAAACTTATGGCGTTTCCGATTGGTAGATCTGGTGCGGAACTAGTGCAATTTTTTCTATTTCTGTCTTTTTCTTCTACAGTTCGATTAAAAGGATGCAAATACGCTCAGTGCGCACTGAATCTACCAATCGGAAACGCCATTAATTTCTATGCTGCTAGGCAAATCCAGCAGGTTAGCACCTGCCGAGGTGGTAGAGATTTAATTTCTATGCTGCTAGGCAACCGCACCGGCAGTAGAAGTACTTTTAGGTCCGCTGGAGCGGCAGCAAAAGTACTTTTAGTGCGGCTCGTACTTTTACTGTCGCTTAATCATCCAGTTACCCCCGAGCTTACTCCATTCGCTTGGAGAAAAAATAGCGTGTTGCATACGGAGTAGAAGCACTTTTTTATGCTTCAGCAGTATTGCAAGCCTCACTACGTTCGGCTCGCAAACCTACTGCTTCAGCACAAAAAAGTAAAGCTTCTACTCCTAATACAACAATATACTATTATAACCTGATTCCTTGTACTTTTTTTTGAATCTCCATCAAAGTGGGATAACATTTCGTATGCATCACGTGTGCCAAAAAAATAATAATGCATTCGCAGAAATTAGCCCACCCACCCTGCGGGTCGTGGGCTAAACATTCAACTCATGAATAAACATTTAACTCAATTGGTGTATACATAAATATTAAATTGAATTTTATGATTGGTTGCAATGTAAAATGACGTGCGTCAAAAATTTTATCATTTGTGTAAATTGATTCTTTTTGCCAACTATTTTCCTAGAACTATTCAGCTCTGCTAATTTTATTATCGAAATTACTAACTTCTAAGAAAACAATTACTGTTGTTTAAAATTCCTTCAAAAACCATTGTTTATTTTATTAATATTAAAACAATCAAGGCAAGGTTAGACACCTACAATTAACTATACATCGATAAAATTGTATTTGGCGATAAGCAGGTAGGTATGCGCACGTTTATTTATAACTATTACTGAGTTTATGGAGTTAATTTTTCAATTTAACAATACATGTTACTGGATTTCGAAATCAACCTTCAATGTTATTTTTTTGTTCATTGAAAAATAGCAAAAATACATAGGTACATGTTAGCGATACCTATAGGTACATAATATAATTTATTAATTAAATCCAATATTTCCAGTTTCCACCCATACAAACTCATTACATTACTATCGCTTCAAACTAAACAAACTGGAATATTCAAATGCCACCAGGTGTTGATACAAGCAAAAAGCAAATACGAACTCCAGCTATGATTTGATTGCAAACTTGAAAGCAAAATTAATAACCAATTTCATGAATTTTAATGGATTTGATTCGATTTTGATCCAGATTTTGAAAATTGTAAATTGCCACAGCAATTTTCTGTTTGTATTAACTATAAACATCTAATAGAACCATGTGAAATAATTGGAAACAGGATGAGTAATAAATAAGTAATTCGAAACATGAGATATGTGTTGGTGCAACTATTTTGCAACATTCTGAACCGCAGAATCTATTACGGAAAATGCGTTATTTTTTGTATATTTCATGTTTATTTTCTTCTTTAAAAAGTAGATATATTCATGGTCATTAGGTAACTGGACATTTATTAAATTATTGATTTAATTACTTGTCCGTCGCTTCCTTTCGAGATGAGAAATATACAGAAGCACTTCAATCCTGGGAACATTTCAATATCAGGTATATATCGTACAGGGTATTTGATTATATTTGGACCCATACCTACAGCCTTTACTATTTAAGATAGAAAAAAAATTTAAATACAAAACTTAACAGTTTTTTTTCTATATTTTCTTTCAACGGTATCAGAAAAAACAGAATCGCATCGGAAAATGGAGAAACGTAGGCAACTTCGACTTTTTTTAACGGAACATCCTGCATATTATGCGATTAAATGAAAGATCTTTTCTTCCTGATTCCAAATATACGTATATTTATCACATTTGGGTAAGCCGTTTTTGATATATCTTAGCTTAAATTATAAATAAAATCCAAATAAGTTTTATAGATATATACATATGTAGATTTAAATGTCTTGACATCCTTATGAAATTTGTTTGCAAATTATTTATAATTTGAGCTAAAATATGTCAAAAACGGCTCACTGAAATGTGATCAATTTATATATATTTGGAATCAGGAAGAAAAAATCTTTCATTTTATTGCAAAATATACAGGTTGTTCCATTGAAAAAAGTCGAAGCTGTCTACGTTTCTCCATTTTCCGATGCGATTTTGTTTTTTCTGATAACGTTAAAAGAAAATATAGAAAAAAACTGTCAAGTTTTGTATTTAAATTTTTTTCTATCTTAAATAGTAAAGGCTGTAGGTACCTATGGGTCCAAATATAATCAAATACCCTGTACATATCTATATCGTGTCTTAATATAGACAGTAAAATGAGAATTTATAATAAAGCTCATAAGACCTATCGTAGCATTTGCAGTTGAAACAAGACCTGAGAGACAGCAAATAATGCGAGCAGTTGAAACAAAACGACATTCAAAAGAGCACAAAGAAACAGAAACGTAGGCGATACAATTTGCAAAAAGATAAATGAAACATGGGAGCCAAACTTTCAGAGAGTGAATTCCTATCTGAGACAGATCAGCGAATACATAATGATAACTGGATCTCCAATCAGACGAAAAAAAAACATTGATAAATAAGTAAATCACTTTATGACCAGGTGAATTCTTTAAATACGTAACCAATAAACTCCTTGAAAATCTGACGGCGCTATTTCAAAAATGCCTGAATTCATGAAGAATGGTAGATATTCTACATGTCCACGATATTTAAGTTCGATGAGTAGAGTCTGTGGGATGCTTATTAAAAATAGAATCCGACAAAAAAACAAAAAGCAGGCAGTTCCAGAATGGATGATATAGGTCATACTTATACAAAACAAAACCGATTAACAACGGTCTTGTACTTTTCGACTTAAGTCGAGTGACTGGTGCTGTAATATTATTGAATATGCTCACCTCTAATCTTGGTTTGCTCAGAGGATGGTGCGGCTCTAATCTACTTGTTTTACATGATTACATAATGTGGTTAATCGCATAATATTTTATGTCACTATGTGTTCAGGCTTTTCAATTGTTTTGTCCTTTTATATTAGGTACACTCTTGGTTGGCTAACAGGTGTTTCTGTGAATAAACTGTCAGTTCAGTATTAGTGATTAGCTTTGCCAATAAATGCATCTAATTTTTGACAATAAAGTATATTTGATTTGTTTCAGTCTCTCAAAGATCTCCAAAAAAATCTGGCCTTTAACTTCGCCGTCAAGTTCTATCCAGAAGATGTTTCCGAAGAATTAATAGAAAACATCACAATCGAATACTTTTTCCTGCAAGTTAAAACCATGATCCTGAAGGACGAAATCTATTGTCCTGCAGACACTAGCGTACTTTTGGCTTCTTACGCTTTGCAGGCCAAGGTGGGAGATTACCAGAAAGATCAAATTAATGAGGACGTTTTCAAAAAGCAAAAGTTGCTGTCAGAAAGGTGAGATTTTTAGTCGAGTATTATAATATGAAGACATTGTTAAATATAATATATCACTGTAGACATTATTTGAAATCTCCGGGTGGATCACCATTAAAAATGGTTGTCACAAAATACGTCTTTTCGAAAATCGATTCAATTTTCAATACATAAGTTACCCTGCATTTTGTATGTATACGTGAACATAAAACTAAGCTCATTATTATAGTATAACTTTTGCCTGCTTCTCTTACTCTATGATAAATAATAGTATAAAATGAAAATGCTTCGAGGCAGGATTCAGGAATTCAAATTGAAATTGAAACCACATGCATTGCAGTTTCGTTTTGTTCTCGATAGACTGTGTTAAATTCCTAGAGAAACACAAAATTCACGCGCGGTTACGTACGTTGGCAAATAGACGGCCGGAGTCTATGTAGACTCGTGAAAACGCTGTTTGTTTGGACAGAAAGTGGGTATATCCAGTTTCAGCGATTGATTTAATTAAGCAAATTCTGGATGTGTATTTCATATTTATTGGTATAAAAAAAAGACGAGTCAAAAATAGGGGACGTTGATATGACGTAACCACACGACTGGGAGACTGCCATCGTCGTTCTGATATAGAAAAAAGGAGTTCCATCAAATCTTGAAACCTATAGACCCATAGGAATCCTCTCTCAGATATACAAACTGTTTATGAGGATAATCACCAACCTATGAAGCATCTTCACACGATAAGGATACCTACTGAATGAAAAGATGACCGAATATAACATTACAACATGGCAAATGCCTATTGCATTCATCGATTTTAGGAAAGCCAAGGGCGGTTTAAAGGGGGTAATTATTCCCCTCCCAGACAAAAAACAGATTTTTTTAAATACATTTATTAATGACAACAAAAGACAAGTTCTACAAAGTAAAGCATTAAAGGCATCGTATAAATATGACAAGCTCGCCCACAGTACCGACTTACCTACTACTATACACTGAGATAAAGGTATTCCATTGGTTGGTTTTTGTTGACACATTCAAACTGCGATTTTTTGAAAAAATATTAAATATTTCAAAAACGGTTAAGTTTTGGTACAGGTGATATAGGGTGTTCTATTTAAAAATAACAAAGTTCTTTTGCATACCCCATTTACGGACCACCCTGTATATTTTAAAATATTTTTACCTATTTCACCTTAGAGAATCAAACAACTTTGTAACTTAACTTTTTTTTCTTGCATCACCCTGTAAGGAGATTTCGTCCGATATCGCACTAAGTGGACACCCTGTATAACTATTTTGACGGCATCGGTATACATTTTTGCCCGGGGCGTGTTTTTTAAACGACTTTCGGGTGCAAATTTGGGCGTGGCACCCCAAAAAAAATTTCGACTCCGGCGGTACGTTGCGGCACTTGATCATTTTCCCGCCATCCATTACCCTCCCTAGAAAAACATGTATAAACTGCCACTGGGAAAGCCTTCGACACGGTGGAATGCTGGGCGATGGATACAGCTATGAGAAATGCACGAATGGATCAGCGATATATAAGCATAGTTAAAAATATTCAAGAAGCAACAAAAATAAAATTAGGAATCCATGAAGATACAAACGAAGTGAAGATCAAAAGAGGCGTACGACAAGGCGATATAATATCACCTAAGCTGTTCACCCTAGTCCTCGAAGATGTGTTCAAGGAACTACATTGGGAAAATAGAGGGATCAATATATCTGGAGAAAACCTCAATAATTTAAGATTTGCTGATGACATCGTAATGTTCGAAAGAAACAGACTTAGAAATCACGCTAAAAGAATTACTACTCCAAGAAGCCAAGTAGATCGGATTAGAAATGAACATATCAAAAAGAGAGTTTATGACAAATGAGCAAGCAGATAGGGAAAGAATATCAATAGAAAGCCAACAGGTAGAAAAAGTAAACTCCTACATCTAGGACTGAAGATAACACTTGGCAAAGTCAATCAAGAGCTTGAAATTAATAGGAGAATTCGACTGGGATGGGCGGCGCGGCGTATGGTGAATTGCGCCACATGTTCCGGTCCAAGTTACCATTGAAGCTGAAAACTAAAGTCCACAACGAATGTATTCTGCCCATGGAGGCCAAACATGGACCCTCATAAAGAAATAAATAACAAATAAGCTGCAAACATCAGAGAGCAGTCGAACGGAGAATGATAGGTATTACACCAAGGGATCACAAGACCAACGAGTGGATAAAAAACACAACAAAGGTCGAAGACATTACACATACAATGTGCACCCTCAAATGGAACTGCGCCGGCCACGTAGCGAGAAACACATGGAACAACTGGAGCCGAAAAGTAACAAGATGAAGACCCTGGCGGGAACGGATTTAAGAAGCGTCGGCACACCTCAACAACGTTGGTACGACGACATCAAGCGAACAGAAGCAGGACTAAACTGTTACCATGTCGCACAAAATAGAAGTACCTGGAAAAACCTGATAGAGGCCTGTATCTAGAGGATAGAGAACGGCTAGGAAGGAAGAAGAATATGGTGTAGAGCCAGACAACATCAAGGTCGCCACGGAATTGAGCTGGCAAATTGTCTTGTGACTGGCTATCAATAAAAATAAATAAACCAAATATAAAAATCATAGCAGTATATAGGCCAGGATCAGTGGATACAATAGTATATTACATACCGAGGTGGAAAGTGTTTGTCGAGAGTCAACATTACATGTATGATTGTAAATAATAGTATATTACATACCGAGGTGGAAAGTGTTTCATTACTGTCGAGAGATTAGTTAGTTAACTGAGACGCGAAGCGTCGAAGTTAACTATAATTTCGAGACAGGAATGAAACTTCCTACCGAGGTTTGTATACTATTTTATTTACAACAATTACAACCCTTATAATTTCGACTAAATACTAAAAAAAAAATTAAAAATTTGTTGACAAGTTCTGACTCATTTAAAAAAACGTTTGACATGCAGGACTCGCCTTAAACATTTTAGGAAATGAGAACTTACTTTCCACCCGGGTGGAAAGTGAGCACTTTCCACCCGGAACCACTTTCCACCCGGGTGGAAAGTAAAATTCAAAAAAGTGTCACTTTCAAACTTTTGAAAAGTCAGAAATGTCAACATTACGTATGTGGTTGTAAATAAAATTATTTACAAATGACATGGTTAACTTTACACAAGACATTACAGGGGAAACTTTCGTTATTGGAGACATGAATCTAGATCTACTTCAGAATAATAATCTGAAAAATGACTATGAAAATATGATAATTGGAAATGGTTTTGAAGTTATAGACATCACTGAACCTACCAGAGTAGCACATCAAACTCGAACTTTGATTGATCACACCATAAGCAATATCAAAGGCTCAGAAATTTCAATACAATTTTTTGACATGAATATGATTGACCATAACATACAGCTAATTGAAATTAAAAAGACAAAAGTAGAAAAACTTCCCAGAATTACACGAGAAATAAATTAAATTAAGAAAGAGAAGTTTCCAAGCAAAGTAGAGAAAGGACTAATGAATACTGATATCAGGGATTTTGAACATTGTACAGGATGCCAAGCAAGAATCAACAATTGAAAAAAAAATTGAGAGTCCATATTAAAACATGGATCACAAGCGAATTTTAAAATTTAGTTCAAGAAAGGGACACTGCTTATGTTGGATCAAGGAAAAGACCAGAGAATATTACTCTTATGGAAGAATTTAAGAAATTAAGAAACCGATGCGATACCTTGAGAAATAAACTCAGAAATAAATATATTAATGAAAAATTCCAGCATGCTGAAGGCAACACAAGAAAAACCTGGCAGTCAATAATTCGAAATTGAAGACCCTCAGGAAATAGCAGACGTATTGAATGATTATTTTCTGGAAATAGGGCATAAAATAGGCGGAGAGATTGAGCAGGAGAAAGATAAACTTCAAAATGAAATAAACTTTGCAGAAGAAATACAACGAAAAACAATATTCTTAAAGCCTCGCACTCAACATGAAATCGGAAACATTATAGAAGAGCTCAAGAAAAACTTACTATGCCCCGGGTATAGATGAGATAACAACATATGATGTACAGAACCTAAGAAACTAGCTCACCCCTGTAATTACCAAACTTGTGAATAAAATTTTAACAAATGGGAGTTTTCCCGATTGCCTGAAGAGGTCACAAAGATTAGACCAATTCATAGGGCCGCTGCTCCGTGAGACCCTGGGAATAAGCGACCAATCGCCCTCATATCAACATTCTCGAAAATTGCGGAAAAGGTCATAAAGAGACGTCTCGTAGATTATGTAGAATCTACATTTAAGTTTGATGCACAACAATATGGCTTTCTAAAATCAAGTAATACTCATTACCCGTTGTAGAACTGATAGAAATCATATCGAAAGCACTGGACGAAAACAAATTTGCCCTTGCCTTGTCTTGATCGACTTGGAAAAGGCCTTTGATACTGTGAACAGAAATATTCTCTTGAGAAAGTTCGACGGAATGGGAATTCGAGGCGTTGCATACAGTCTCATAAATTCATATCTCTCAAATAGACAACACTATACAATAGTAAATCAGAAAACCAGCCACACAAAACCACCAACAATTGGTATTCCACAGGGATCGGTGCTTGGACCTTTGCTCTACCTACTCTATGTGCACAGTTTAACCTGAGCCAATCTTAAGTGCAACAATGTAACTTTTGCGGACGATACAGTGCTTCTCTTTCAAGGGAAATGCCTAGGGTCAATGGAAGCGAAAGTGAACAAATGCCTTGAGACCTACTATATGTGGCTGCTAAAGAACAAACTTAAAATCAACATAAAGAAGACTGTGTATTTCATTTTTGAACAAAAGGATAAGACAGTGCTAGACACTAAAATAAAACTTAAAAACGAACTCATAAATAAAGCGCAATCTTATAAATACCTCGGTTTAAGTGTTGATGAGGACCTTTCATTTAAACCGCATATAAAGAAACTACAGAGAAAACTTGCAAGCGCTTGTGGAGCAATAAAAAAATGTACAAACTATCTTCCGAATCTTATTGGAATAATCGCTATTTAAATCACAATTACAATATATGTGTACTATATGGGCAGCTGCATCTGTGAAAGCTAGACAAAAGTTGCAACGACTTCAGAATCGTGCCATGATTCAGTCGTATGAATAAAGTGTAGCAAAGGCTTTTACTCTACCTCCGTCTCTTTTTGCTATATTAAAGCTGAATATGTTTATCTCAAAAAACTTAAGCACAAGCATATGCTCGTGTTTTATGCATATGACCCATTGAATACCTGCATAAACTTCCACGACTCTCTCATACAAGAGACCTGCACAAAAACTTCAAATATCTGAAGGTGGACCAAATAATTCAATTGGAAGAATGTAAATTATTATAAAGAATATTGCACAAACAAATTAAAGCAAAAATTGAACCAAAAAGAAACTCCGATTCACATAATCATATGACAACATCCTGTGGTCAAATGCATGTTCGAAAATCAAGAACCAATATAGGCAAGAGCAGCATTATCAGTCGCGCTTTAGGATCCTACAATAAACTACCATGGGACATTTTAGGGGTAACTAGGCCTGTGTCTTTTGCTGGAGCGGTGAAACTGCATCATCTTGCTGCAAACGGGTAACATTGTAAAAAAAACATAAATAAAAGATATTATTAAAAAAAAAACAACCAAGTAAGTAGGCTGGCTGCCAACTTACTTCAGCCTACTTACTTGCACCAAGTACCGTTCAAGTGCACTTGGACAGTGTCAACCTGCCTTGATTATATCTTGCGTTTTTTTTTTTTTTGAGGGTTTGTTGAGGATGCTGTTCACATACCGCTGTTGCCTACAATCCTAGCTGACTTGAGAAATCGCATTGTTATTCCTGTAGATGCGGTGGCAAGTGACATCCATCATCGTCTCTACTTTGTGTAACTAGAGGAAAGCACACATAACAGAGTTATGTACAGTAATAGTTAACTCTGTACTTACTTGTCAACTTCCAGATTATAATTATCTTAAATAGGATAAATTATTTCGCTACCTCAAAGTACCAATACCAATCCTAATTATGCCCTCGATCACTTATTCCTCTGTAATTGAAACGTAGGGGCAATTCACATTATGTAAAAGCAATCATATTTTTCATTTAGCTTGTTCAACAATTTAATTAGTTCTAACATGTCTTTTTTTAAATAATTATTTGATCCTTGCAAACTTGTAAGATTGCCCATTCGGGGATTATTCTTTTGACCTTCGGACAAATTGATACTGGTGAAGTCAAGTATCTTGATACTTACCTACATTACATTTCTGAACATACAGTCATAATATGAATTTGTTGTTTTCGTGTCGTTTAGCTTGTTGTTCATTATCATTATCATTAGCACAGAAAATGAGAATTGGTTTATTCAAGTAATTAGTCTGATGCACAGATTCGAATTTTCTCATTTATATTCTGAAAATCAACACACCTAAGCCGCTTGTTTTTCTTAGAAATGGTTCATCTTTGTCCTTACCTCTATGCTCAAATCAGGAGTCAGCCTACCGAGAAATCGGAGTACATACCTTATAACTTGAAACTAACTAAACGGCTTTGAGTAATTTTCAATCTATATACAATCTCTTTGCCCTAGCGTATAGCCTTTGACTTGTTCGAAAGTCAGTACTCGAAACGAAATGGCTCTTAGGACATTATATCGCTTTGATCGAAAGCCAATCGCTGGCTGGATGTTGCATTGAAAATTGAAATCAGGAAGGCTAACGTACCATGCAAAGATTTTGCTGAATCCGAGTTGCTATGGTACAAAAAAAAAAAACATCAGAATTTGGGTCACCGTCAATTCGACGTAAACCAATCTGCGTACGTCAATTCGTCGTAAAGTCAATTCATCGTATACGCCAATTCGTCGTTAAGTCAATTCGTCGTATACGCCAATTTGTCGTATACGTCAATTCGTCGGAGCGTTGATTCGACGTATACGTTAATTCGTCGTAAAGTCAATTTCTCGTTAAGTAAAGTCGACTAGCTTGTATTGAAGGTAAATTGGGTAAAACATCCCTGTCGTTATAAAAGCAACTAAATCTTATGCATCAATGGTGATTCGTGTGGTAACCAACGTGTTAATAGTTTGCAATTTTAATCAGACATTATCAAACTTACCGACAATAACCCGGTCAGTTCGGGTTAGATTAAAATTGCAAACTAACCCAAACTTACTGGGTTATCGGTAAGTTTGGTAATGTCTGATTAAACAGAAAAAGTGCAAATTTATATATTATACTTGAAATACGACGAATTAACAATACGACGAATTGACGTACACGACGAATTAACGTTTTAATAGTTTGCAGTTTTAATCAGACCTTATCAAACTCACCGATAATAACCCGGTTAGTATGGGTTAGTTTGCAATGTAATGTCTGATTAAAATTAAAAACTAACCGGGCTATTATCGGTAAGTTTGGCATATAATGTCTGATTAAACGAAAAAGTGTAAATTTATACATTTTAACATTATACCTGAAATACGACAAATTGACTTTATGACGAATTGGCGTATACGACGAAATGACGTAACGACGCATTGACTTTATGACGAATTGACTTTACGACGAATTGACGTAAGACGAATCGACTTACGACGTATGACATAGACCCTCAGAATTTACCCTTTGTATCACCAGCAACATAACCTGTATTTCTACGAAAAGAAGTTTTCCTACAGTCGTGCGGAAAAATCTATTTTCCGCACTGATATGCGTGCGGAAAATTAGTTTTCCCGCACGGTGCGGTAAAACTTTTTTTTTTGACATATCAGTGCGGAAAAAGTTTTTCCGCACGGCTGTCAGTGCGGAAAAAATTTTACCGCACTGATATGTCAAAAAAAAAAAGAAAAATTTTACATTTTTTCGCCTGTAGGAAAAATATTGTACCTAACACTTGAGGAAAATATTTTTCCGCACTCGGCGGCATCACCAAACTCCGCTACGCGTCGTTCGGTGAACGGCAGCCGCGTGCGGAAAAATTCATTTTGGAAAAATTCATTTTCCGCACTTGTTAGGTAAATAGCTATTTTCCACAGCCGTGCGGAAAAAAATTTCCGCACAACTGCCAAAAAAAAAATAATAATAATAAAATACTAAAAATTATGTATGTATACTTATTTCCGCATGTCTGAAGTAAAGCTATTGTACCTAACACTTGCGGAAAATGTTTTTCTTCACTCAACAGACTCGTGCGGAAAAATTCATTTTCCGCACTCGTTAGGTAAATATTTATCTAGCTATTGTGTTGGTTGCAGCATTCACTTTATGCAATAATACTTTAAATTGTGTTCGCAAGACGCAAACATTACCAATGATGCTGAAACAGTTTCTGTAATGGGATTTTTTGAAGACCCATAGAAGCACCGATGTTAGGCGAATCTTGTACAGAAATTTCTGGAGAGCGATTTCGCTAAGAAGCTAGAGTTTTGTGCAAAAATAATAGCAGGATGTGACAAAAATAATGCATTTCCACCAGAGATTGTTTTCTTTGATAAGGCTTAGTGCAATTTAAATGGAGAAATTCGAAGACATATTTATCGATGCTGATTGCAAGCATTTTCTGATAAGCTGACAAGAGGGCTTGATATTCGAGAAATTTCAATTTCACAGTCTATGAAAATTATTCTACAAAATGATGAAATGTTTATTTAATGTACCTACCTAATTTTTGAAGAAACTTGAATGAGCTACAAATAAGTAATACACAATGGTAAATTATCTAGGGTGGTCAACCAGCATAAACTACAAGCGTCGGAATGGGAATCGAATATAACAAACATGTGGGAAAAACATCGTGGTCTGGATAAAGATGACGCCATGTTGGAGTATCTCAAACTAGTCCAAAACTTAGAAATGTACGGTGTTTGCTATTTCAATATCAAAAATGCCAAAGGTACTGAGTTGCTTCTAGGAGTGACGGCTTTGGGTTTGAATATTTATAAAGTTGATGACAGGTAAGACCCAACTTGCAGCCTAGATCCATATTCGTAATCCAATTAAATTTTTTTGAACTTTCAGGCTGAACCCAACAATTTCCTTTCCTTGGTCGGAAATCAAAAACCTCAAATACAAAGGTACCAAGTTTGTTATCAGACCCAATGATAAATCTGCTAAAAATTTTATTATCCTAACAACCAATGAAAAAGTTAGTAAGCAAATTCTAAACTTGGGTATTGGAAATCATGAACTCTATGTGAAGAGAAGGAAACCTGATAGTGCCGAGGTAGCCAAGATGAAGGAGAAAGCCAATGAAGTACGAAAAACCAAGTTGATTATAAGGTAAAAATACTTCACTTAGAAATTTTAATCAAGAATTTTATTTTTAAACCATACTTGTTATGAGTATGTATTTATATTACCTATTATATTATTTCCAGGCAAAAGTATAATTCAGAACGGCTTGCTAGAGAGGAAGCAGAAAAACGAGAAACTATGTACAAACAACAGTTGGAAGATATGAGGATTGAAATCGATAGAAAACAGGCCAGCCTGTTAGAAGCTGAAAGAACGATAAGGTAAAATCGTTTTGAGTTTAATACAATGTCAATAACATTAATTCATGAGTACCTGTACTTGGTATATACACCGTGATTTACGTACGCCGTATATTAGAACTTGTCCAGTTTGCAGGTGGATTAGTAGAAATAGCATCTAATCCACCTGTAAGCTAATGCACGGACTACTTAAATCACCCTGTATATATTCTAAAAAAAAACCTGGGAAGATAAATAAGTCTGTATAATGTTTTTTTTTTTAGGAGGCTACAAGAGCAACTTGACGATCTTAAGAGATCCAAAGAAGAACTTGAAGATCAACGTACGGAATTACAACAAATGATGGAAAGGCTTGAACAAAACAAATACATGGAAGCCGAAGAGAAACTAAAACTCGAGGAAGAAATTCGTGCTAAACACAATGAAGTTCAAAGAATCCAAATGGAAGTAGCTAGAAAGGACGAAGAAACTAGACGTCTACAGGATGAAGTTGAAGAAGCTCGTAGAAAGGAGGAAGAAGTTCGTTTGAAGCAAGAGGAAGAAGATAGGAGGCGTGAAGAAGAGCAACGTCAAAGAGAATTGGAAGAAGCTAATAGGACTGAGAAAGAACTTGAATCGATATCTGATGCTGACAATACTTTGCCGGAAGTAAAGGAGGTCAATGATCAACTTAAAGAACAGTTGAAGGTAATTATTTCAATATTATAACAGGAAGAAAGAACATACTATTATTTTTATTAGTCCACGATTATTTTCATTTTTATTAATTTTTTTCACAGAATCTTCAAGACCAATTGAACGAAACCAGAACCAACGAAGAAAGTGAATTGGATAGAATTCACAGAATTAATTTATTGGAAGGAAGAGACAAATATAAGACATTAAGAGATATTCGTAAGGGCAATACTAGCCGGAGAGTGGAAATGTTTGAAAACATGTAAAGTTTGCGAATTTCCTATTGAAAAATCTCTGGATTATTCTAACGTCCAAAAGTATTATCGATGCTTAGTCATTCCTTTAACCAATTTATTTTGAGTATCGTCTTGCTCCTAAAACTTAGTACATTGTACGATTTTATAGATATTTTTTACAATGTTTTGTAAATCTTTTACATTACCTACCTATACCTATAACGTTGAACTGTTAATAATTTATTGAATATGTTATTATGAAGATAAATACATTTATTAAAGTAATTACAAGATTTGTGTTGAGTAATATTTTTCCATTTTTTTGGAGATACTTATTTTACACAAAAAAAAACTGAATCTCAGTCATGACCTTGACGCCCCAGCTCAATTTTTCAATTACAAAAGGGCGCCTTTCTCTAATAAAGCCTTTAAACAGATTGTATTTCGGCACTGCAGGGTCCCTCGGGACAATCTCCAGGAATAATTAACGTCATTTCATCCAAACTTTATAGGTGTAAAAGAAAGAGGAGAGTGAATTAATAATGATTTTTTAAACAGGGCTTCACTTCATAATAATGATAGTAGGTATCAATTTTTTCGAATAAAAGTGTTACCTATTCATTTTATTTTGTTTCATAAACTCTAATTATTTTCCACAGAAGTGGTCTTCAACTTTGAGTTTCGAGCACTCGATAAGTCGTTCTTTGTGTCCTACATAATAGTTATTTATACACCAAGAGCGCTTTGCGCCTGTGGGACATGTATGATTTTATCTACAAGCATGCGATAACTAAGGTATATTACACGATTTTGCGTGCGGTAAGTACCATTAGCGCACGGCGTGCTGTAATAGCGTGCGGTAATTTTATTACCGTACGCTCGACCTGCCTTCAATTACCTACCTATCACCTAAATTCTACTTGTCCACTGTCAAAAGTGAGGCAATTTTATTTTCTATCATTTTTTAAACTTCTTTCCGATATTTTTTTACCACACAGTTGTCGATAAAATACTGTATATAGTATATGTATATATGTATATATACTAATACGTATGGTAATTAGGTTATTACCGCCCTTAGAGATTGCAAATTTCTCTCGCGTGCGGTAATAACCTAGTTACGTTACCACACTTATTATATCGGGTCTTCAAAAAAAAAACCAATCAAAGATTGCTATGGTTTTTTAAACGTATGTCTTAGCAATATTTGTCTTTAATTTTGTCAATGAAGTTTAATGTCAAAATGTCCTATCAAAAATCCTGACGAATAAAGAAACAGTAATGCGACGTACGTTTTCGTAGTCAAAGCAATCTTCGATAGTTTTTTTTTTGAAGACCCGATATAATAGACTATAATCTACGTCGCTGTCATTATGACATATACATTCTCATTTAAATGTCATTAGGTCCTTCATAATAGCAAGAATTCATAATAACACCCAAATTATAAAATAAAAAATATAGAACAAGAAAGTTAGTTACCAGAAGAAACTTTCCATTGATGCTGTCCACTATTTAAGGGCCATTCAGAAAATTCGACAAGTTGACAACATACTTCAACCTTCCAATCGATCGTTTTGACAGCTGATTTGGACAAGACTTTTGCTAACCTAACCTCACTTTGTCCTCCAGCTGTCAGAAGGGTCATTTAAATTTGTTACGAAAATTAAATAGAAAACCGGATAACTCGTATCTATTAAGTATTAATCATAGAAAAAGTGAAGTATTCTACTCGTGGATAATGGCTATTACTCACTCGGATGATTACACTTGCGGCTCGTAGTGCAAACTTCATCCTTCGTGAGTAATAGCAAAGAATATGAATATGAATATACTATTTCCACACTCCAATATTGGTCACGTCCCCAGGTGGTCAATTTTTGACCGTTCGCAAATATAGAAACGTATGTAGATTGTTCCTAAATCTGCGAACAGCCACAAGTTTTGATTTTTGGCAGTTCGCAAAGTTTCGTATGCGCATATTTTCATTCGCTTTTCTGCGAGCGGTATTCTACACTTTATTTTTTCCCAAGATAGATTTTGACATTGAAAACTTTGAAACATAAACAATAACGCTTGACCCTGATTGGTAGCAACATGAGGTATTTCTGCAGGTTGACATTAATTTTACAATAGCGACCAATAAGCGGCATTAGCGGTGTTGGAAACATGTTCCAACAATCATGCTATCTCTTTTTGATGGCAAAATATTTTTATACATATAAAGTTTGCAACACTGCAGCGTTGTCGTCATGTCTATTTTGTCATGTCTGTCAATATATTGCGCGCCATTTTTGTCATTGTAGCAGTGTAGCTTGGAGCTTGTCCACGTTAACAAGCATCCAGAAACCTTTTCACATTTTAATAAATTTTATAATCTAGCTCTGCCCTGTTGGGCATCTAAGCAAGCTCTGGCTTCTTGTCATCTTGTAGTAGTAATTGTAAATAGTGTAAATATTGTGTAAATTGTTGTAAATATAGTGTCAGTGAAAAGCGCGTGTGTTTTAGTTCCCTATCCAGTCGATCATCCAGTCCACCTAATTATACAGTCCACTAATTATCAAGTTATTTATCTTCCATTATGTGGTTTTGCACATAATTTTGGCCAGTTCGAGCCGGATACTGGATAGTTCGGAACCTAAAAGTGCTTTAAAAACCCTCAAAAAGTGCCTTTTTAGTGGTTATTGATTGTTCCATCGTGATTTTTGGCGCCATGTGATGCAAAAAATCAATCATCCACTGTGCAGTCTGCACGTGTCTCAAACAACGTTGGGTTCCACGTGCCACCAGCGAAGGTTTCCGCCGGAACCGGAAGTGCGTAAGTAGAGTGGGGCGGAGCAAACAAACTTCACTTGTCAAATTCAAAAGGGTGCTTCTTTTTCTCGTCTGGTTCAACCCAAGTCACCCCGGGTGCAGTATCCTTGCTTGGTGCAATGAAGTACAGCCCCGGAGCAACGAACATGAAAGTGAGAGTTCACCACCCCGACAGCTTAACCTCAAATTAAATGTCAAACATTTGTTTACGTTTTGTTGTTTGTTGTTTGTGTATTTTGGATTTTTGCAGTGAATTTGAGTGAATTTGCATTATTTTTGAAAAACTGAATTTTTCGCATTAATTATTGCTATTTTTTCATTATTTATTTAAAGGATGAACAATTATCCGTTTTTCGTTTTGTTAAGTAGGTAGTTTTTAAAAAAAAATCTAATTTATTAGGTAATTTTAAATTTTGTTTATAGATTTCTTTTGATATTTTCTTATTTTTTTGATTGTAAACTTTGTAAATATGGCTACCAAAAAGCAAATTGATAAATTATTGTCAAAGAAAAAGCAAGCAATCGACTCCATGGTTAGAATAAGTCGTTATATTTCCGATCACAAATCTGATCCTGACAGTGAGTATAAAACCGACCAATTTTTAGTTCGGAAGGAAATATTGCAGGACAGTTTTCAAAAGCTTAAAGACATTCAAGTTGAAATTCTGTGCCTTGATGGTAACTATGATGATTCAATTGATGATGTAGAAACTCTTTTTTATGATGTCATTGTGCGCCTATCACAAGCTTTCCTGACCCTGATTTGACGGAAATTCCCCAAGGTCGACTTAAGTTTTGGAAATTGTGTGTCCAGATGCAGCAGCATTTTTGGAAAAAGTGGTATCACGACTATCTAACGCAACTCCAAAATAGGCCAAAATGGCGTGATGAGATGCCTAACCTTAGGGAGGGCTTGTTAGTCATTTTAAAAGAGGATAATGTACCTTCTTATAAGTGGCCAATGGCAAGAATAGTTAAAGCAATACCTGGAAAGGACGGCAAAGTAAGGGTTGTCGAAGTGAAAACCAAAAAAGGTATTTATCTCAGATCGGTTACCAAGATTGCAGTGTTACCGATTGATGACAATAATTGTTAATAATATTTTTGAAAATTATTCACAAAATTCTGTACATATATTTGTAAAACATTTAGATTTATATTTATATTCAATTAGCTATACTCGTATATACATACATAATGTCATACTATGTGTTCCAGAAATGTTTTTAGCTTTAATTGTTAGTTAAGTTTTCGTTTACTGGATCATCATTGAAATCATACCTTTTTTTAAAAAAAGGGTTGCTTACTTTCTCTTTAATTTTTTTATTTTTTTTTGCTGGAAAATTTTACCTTGGTTTCATGTGAAACTCTAGGCCCCCCAGCATGTTGGAAACATGTTCCAACAATCATGCTATCTCTTTTTGATGGCAAAATATTTTTATACATATAAAGTTTGCAACACTGCAGCGTTGTCGTCATGTCTATTTTGTCATGTCTGTCAATATATTGCGCGCCATTTTTGTCATTGTAGCAGTGTAGCTTGGAGCTTGTCCACGTTAACAAGCATCCAGAAACCTTTTCACATTTTAATAAATTTTATAATCTAGCTCTGCCCTGTTGGGCATCTAAGCAAGCTCTGGCTTCTTGTCATCTTGTAGTAGTAATTGTAAATAGTGTAAATATTGTGTAAATTGTTGTAAATATAGTGTCAGTGAAAAGCGCGTGTGTTTTAGTTCCCTATCCAGTCGATCATCCAGTCCACCTAATTATACAGTCCACTAATTATCAAGTTATTTATCTTCCATTATGTGGTTTTGCACAAGCGGCATTGTTTGTTTCAAAGTTGACAATGTAAAAATCTATCTTGGAAAAAAATAAACCATAGTCGCCCTATTCGGTTTGCGTATTCGTTTTTCTTGTGTCAAGTGGGGATGTTAGGTTGTTTTTGTTTGTCAATTTATTTGATAGCGATTTTATCATTGGATTATTGTGTATCTACTACCTCTGTATCTGGGAGGGTGGTATATAAGGTATGCTACAGCACTTAGGCCACAATTATGCCCATTGTGCGCCTCCACAAGAGGAGAGGTGATCATTAGCTCGTCACCCAGCCTAACGATTCTACGTAAGCGATGACGTCGCCCAAGGCGGTGCCTCAGATCTCTTCTAGTGATTGGTACGATTGGCCTAATCTGGCTCTGAGTATTGGCGAAAGAGCAGTGCAGTCACAGAGAATGTGCTCTATCGTCTCGTCTTCTTGATTACAAGGTGTATCTACTATAATATGGAAAACTTGATGAATGTGCTGGCAATTGGTTATTTGGAAAACGCAGAGATACGAAATCGACGCAACCATCGACATAACCGCCGTGATCCATTCGTAGAAGAGCTAAACCAAAGGGCCTGCTTCTCAATAGCGAGTCACCTCCGGGTTGGTTTTAACTCCAGGTTAAACGTGTCCAGTTGCAATGTTTACCCTGG